GGGGGGCCGCCCTAGCTGCACCCCCTCCCCCCCCCAGCAGACCAGGGAGACCCGAGCAAAGCCTCATGCGTCTTTGCTCCTGTCCCCCTGGTCTGCTGGGGGGGTCCAGCAAAGCCGCTGGACCCCCTCCAGCAGACCAGGGACACCCGAACAAAGCCGCTGCCTGGGTGGCTTTGCTTGGGTGTCCCTGGTCTGCTGGGGGGGGTCCAGCGGCTTTGCTGGACCCCCCAGCAGACCAGGGAGACCGGGAGAAGCTTTTCTCGCCCCGGAGGAAACGGGTGGCGACCAGCCGCCCGTGAGCTCCGGGGCGAGAAAGCCCCGTTCGTAAGTGCGGATCCGACATAAGTCGGATCCACGTAAGTTGGGGATTGCCTGTACACAGCAAGGATGGTCAGTATGACGGGCCCCATCATGTCTGCCCCATTAAACACTAGGTGCAGCTGCTGATGAGCTAGGCACTGAGATATGAGCTTGGCACCAGCAGCTCTTTGGTTGGTGATGCCACTCCTCTGCTGCTATAAGCCATCTAGGCGCCTGCCCATTCCAGCCCCTTTGGAAATGCTGGAATTTGTAGTTTCCCCCTGTGCTGCCAAAGCCCCTTCCCTGCACACACCTTGCTGCTGTTTGTCCTGTTGTCCTTGTAAACCGTCCAGGACGTCCCATTATCACTGTAAGCCACTTTGTAGGCTGCCACATACTGAATGTGCCCAAAATCTCGAGCCCCTTGAGTGATGACGCCGGTCACCTTCTTCTGTGTGCGTAGGTCGACCTGCCAGAGACACGGGGCTTTTTCAAAGGGTGCCACTCGCTTTGCCCCCAAAGTGAGTCAGGTCCCAAGAGAGACAAGCTGGGAGAGGCAGGAGCTTTGCAGGCCTCATCCACTCAGCTCTACTGATGGCCCTCAGGCCTGACAGCAGTTCCTCTGCTATTCCAGTCCTGGGCTTCGCATGGACAGCCTCCGGCTCTGTGCACCTTTGCTAAGTGAAGATCACCCACTGCCTTGAACAGCTCACTATACACACCAACCTGTCTGACTGGGAACATGGGCAGATTCTACCCACAGCCCAGCACAGTGCATTCCCTGGGGAATTCCCCCTCTGCACAAATGGCACAGAGACAATATAGGCAACCCCACACTGAACCTGGTATGAGGGTGTGCTGGAGTGTGGCCAAAGACAGGAGTAAGCAGCTCTGGGTTAGGCGAGGGAATGGCTAGGGCTCTTCGGGCTCCAACTATTCTGGGCAGCAGAGCGGTAAGTGAGCCATGCAATGTGCTCTAGGCCCCAGAGCAACTCCAACTTAAGCATACAAAGCTTTTTTTGCCTTCCCCCAGCCTGGGTGGCCTCACTAGTGCTGAGCTTCCTCACAGGTGGGAAGGAGGGAGACGAGGGAACGTGGAAGGAGAGCAGAAGGCTGGCGTGGAGACAAGCAGGTGGGTTACCCAGAAGGAGCTGCAGTCGGGGTACACGGACTACGTGCCAAAAGATCTCATAGGGCCAGAGACACCCCCATGAAGGAAGAGTAAAGGGACCCAGGCTGAGATGCTGTGACATTGCAGGGACAATCAGATAAAGGCAAACGCTGGGAAAGGTCAGTTCTGGAAGGCTTGTTTCCTAAGGGCAGGATTGGCTTCTCAGCTCTCTAGAGACACTCTCTGGCCTGGCTCTTCACTTTCTCTGCTTAAGCTGCCACCACCGAGGATTCTGAAATCACCTGAAGGAGGAGCTGGGGCCTGGGATAATGACAGGAAAACTGACAGATTCATGTATCAGAGGGGTAGCTGTGTTAGTTTGAATCTGCAAAAGCGACGAGAAGTCCTGTGGCACCTTATAGACTAACAGATGTATTGGAGCATAAGCTTTCATGGGCAAAGACCCACTTTGTCAGATGCATGTACCACAAAGTGCCACAGGACTCCTCGTCGCTTCTGATAGATTCATGTGTCCCAGGAGTTTCTGTCCCCTCCCATAGCTCACCCGGAGCCAGCACTTAAGCTATAGGCAGGCTCTGGAGTGGTCACAGGGCTGAGCATTTCCCCTGTGATTCCCTCTGCTGGCTGAAAAAAGAACACAAGGCAGGAACTGAGGCCACACAGCAGAATCAAATTCTTAGCAGGAGAGTCAGGCATGGGGCATGTAGCACAGGACAGGGACAACTGAGCCAAGCTCCCATGGCCTGATCCATGTAGAACCGGGATGCTGATCTTGACCATGGGGGCGGGGGGAGAGATAAGTGATGGGACTGACAAGGGTTTCTGACAGCCACTCCCAACAAGCAGCTTCCAGTTCCTCATACATAGATACAGGGGTGCAGAGGGGACCCCTAGAAAACAGGGAGGGATAGAAAGAGGTGAGAATCGCAAGGTAGGAAACTGGGGAGAGGGGAGTCCAAAGTGTCAATGAATCCCTTCCTGAGATTCGTTTGCAATCCCATATGCACAGAGCACAGCAAACACATGGCTTTCTGAAACAGGGTCCAGCCACTGCCCGTATTCTGCCCAGGATTCAAGCTCCCCTGACAAGGACCCCCAAAGCATCCTGCACCCAGGCCTTCACAATAGAAATATATGGCCCCTCAAGAAGCTGTAATGGACTATTAGATCCATTTTACACATGGAGAAACTGAGCCAGATGCCTTGCTCAAGGCTACAGTGGGAATCAATGAGTTCTGCTATTGGCGCACATGTACTCCTTGGCCCCAGGCCTATGCTCATATCACCAGACTTCCCTACCTCCCTGCTGGCACAGCTACTGTGGGGTGATGGGGACACACCTGCAGCCACTCAGACTGGTCATTGTTGAGTGCGGTCCAGGCATTGGTCTTGCCTGCCTTGTTCAGACGGGCGTAATGTGGGTACCAGGTGAAACCATCGATGCCCCATGTCTTGAAGACGCTGGAGGCTGTGATCTGCTGGTCAGAGATCAGGTGGGATTTCATGCCCAGTGGCTCCGAACAACCTGCCGTGTTGAAATACACTGTAACACAATGGTTTATAGACACAGTGAAAGGGAAGAGTCCAGCAGCATCATCATCCCAAACAACATAGAGCAGGACCCAGAAATATGAGATACTAAACCAGTCCCAGGAATCCCAGAGCTATACAGACCACAACCCCAAAGATGCAAAGAGCAGAGACCACAAAGGCAGACAGCAGAGATGCCAAAGACAGAGAAAGCACTGAGCCTTGAGCACACAGAGCTGGGACCTCAAAACTCCCAGGTCCTCTCAGGAAAGCAATAGAGCCATTGAAATGGGTGAGTTTAATTTTTTTTTCAGTTCTGCATTTACCTTATACCTAATTTCCCCTGAGAGGACCATTTACTGTGTGGCAGCGCCCCCTGCTGCAGGAGGGCTGCAAGGACAACTCTCAGTACTTTCCCTCCAAGAATGTGATTAAAATTTGAACTTGTGTATGCCTAGAGATGCAGCCGTGTTAGTCTGGTCTGGCTGAAACAAAAGACAGGACTATGCAGCACTTTAAAGACTAACAAGATGGTTTATTAGGTGATGAGCTTTCATGGGCCAGACCCACTTCCTCAGATCAAATTGTGGAAGAAAATTGGCACGACCTTATATATCAAAGTGATACAATAAAAAAAAACACATATAAAATTGACAAATCAGATTTTAGAATGGGGGGAGGGGAGGTTAAGGGGGAAGGTTAGTGTCTGTGAGGTAATGATATTAGGAGTGATAATTGGGGAAGCTATCTTTGTAATGATAATCTTTGTAAAAGCATTACCTCACAGACACTAACCTTCCCCCTTAACCTCCCCTCCCCCCATTCTAAAATCTGATTTGTCAATTTTATATGTGTTCACTTTTTTTTTATTGCATCACTTTGGTATATATGGTCCTGCCAATTTTCTTCCACAAATTGATCTGAGGAAGTGGGTCTGGCCCACAGAAGCTCATCACCTAATAAACCATCTTGTTAGTCTTTAAAGTGCTGCATAGTCCTGTCTTTTGTTTCAGCCAGCCCTTGTGTGTGTGGGGGGGGCGAGGGGAAGCTCTGCTCTCCTCAGCACAGCACAGCACACAGCTCCCTGGCTTTATGTGCAGAATCCACTCCAGGGGCAAGGTATTGTTTCCTTCTCCCATTCCCTGGCCTAGAAAAGCCTATCTGGATTGTTACATGGGCCAGTTCCTACTGTAACCTTGCAGCCAGGAAATGGGATCAGCCCCGCACTTCTCATTGTTACCTGTGGGTGTCACTGTGGGCACTGATGCAGACAAAGAGAAGACTGGGGCAGAGGATGGGGATGGAAAACCAAAGCACAAACCCCTTATGTGGAATGAGACCTGAGCTCTCAGTGCCAAAGCAGCTGGGGCCCAGACCTGCCAGCTTGCAAGCAGTACTCCCTTTCCCTGAAAGGCTCCCGAAGATGAACTCCAGATCTTACCTCTGGGCTAATTCCTGTCGCTTGCTCTTTGTTCCCAGGGCTTGGACCCCTTCTGCCATATTCCTGAAGGGCTCTCCCCCAGGTTCCTCACCTCTCTCTGTAAGGGACTGGGCCCTGGCAGAGCCCAAGCACTACTGGGGTCCTGGCAGGGTTCCAAGGGCACAAAACATACAGTGAACTTGGAAGAGTCATAGCACTAGAGATAGAGGCCTCTCAGTCCCCCAGAGCTGTTCTATCATGGACTGTGGCCACAGGCATGGAGGACTTCCAGCTCTGTCCCAGGCTCTGCCCCTTTTCCATTCCTTCCTCCAAGCCCCGCCTCACTCTATCCCAACCTGCTTATTCCCACCTCCTCCTTCCACTGCACTATACCCCACAGAGCCTCCGGCACCTTGCAAACAGCTGGGACATGGCTGCACCAACCCCGCTAGCAATACACCGGGGGCCAACAGCCAGGCAGTAAAGGTTTGCTCCCAGCCTCCCTGACAACACTGAGGGCATGTCTAAACTACAAAGCTTTTTCAAAAGAGGTTTCTTCCAATCGCATTTTCGAAAGAGGATCTTTCGAAAATTAAAGTAGTCTGGATGTGTTTTGGGGGGGGAACCCTTTTTCGAAAAAAAATGCGTAAATCTTATTTTTCAGGAAGAATTTTTTCAAAAAAGGTGGTTTTTGTTTTTTTCCCAAAAAAAATGCGTCCAGATGACTTTCATTTTAGAAAGATCCTCTTTCGAAAATGCAATCAGAAGAATATATGCAAATTCCAGGAATCTGCATATCCTCTTTTGGAAAAATCTTTGTAGTTTAGACATGCCCTGACTGGACAAACACACAAGGTACATTTCAACGAGAACAGCAAGCCTGGCTTCCCCACTGGAGCAATCCAGAACCTCAGAACAGTACCCACTGTGCCAAGCGCTGCCTCGCATGTGTCATGTTAGGAATGTGGAGCTAGCAAGAGAGAAATTGGATTGGCTGAGCCTACTACAGCTAAATTACATTTTCTAGGGGACTTTGATCCTGAAGAATTTTGCAGACACTACAGAGAAATTATCTCAGCAGCTGTTCAACAGCCGCACAGAAGCGCTGCTCGGGGGGGTTGGGACAGAGTGAAGAAAGACCCCAATTGAGACTGCCTGGGAAGGATTTAGGGAGTAGAATGTCATTATCTAAGAAGTGATTTGGCTGAGACTCTGGAGTTAATACCCCAATGTTCATGAAACGAGCTAACGGATCTTTGACAACCAGGGGTCATCAAGCCTTGTCAGAAAGACAACACCAAATCCCATAGCCAACACCACATCCCATAGCCCTGCACGGATAGCCCTGCACTGCAGTCAGTAATGACTCTGAGGTGATAGCACCCTCTGCCAAGTTGCCTACACCACTCCTTGCACCATGCCACACTGATATACTAAGGGCATAGACCTGAGTCTCAAGAACTGGTTTCTACATCTGGGGTAACTTTAAAAATCATTTTCTAAGCATTGACTCAGCCCAACATGTGTGATCTGATGAGGTAACAGCCTGTGCTGTGAATAACAGTGGTGGGCAACCTGAGGTTTTACGTGTGGCCCACAAGACATTTTGTTTACTGTTGCCTATTCAGACTTGCCAGATTTCACTGGTTTCCATCTGCGTCATTTGTTTCCTACCGATATTACTAAAATGACACATGTGAAGTGAGGTGTGTGCCCATTGCACACAAAAATGCCTGTGAGAGCCTTGTGCTTCCTCTGCAAAGTGCTGCTATGGTTCAATGGCACACCCCGCAAATTCTAGGCATGCAAGCGCAGTTAGCAAAACTACTCCATCCCATGAGACCATGCAATGTTGCAGTCCACTGAGATGAAGGAGGGCCATTCATGCGGCCCACTCATTAGCCTAGGTTGCCCATCCCTAGTGTACATGCACATCCGCCTCAGAGATCTGTAAGACAGGAAAGTGAATGCCCCAGAGCAGCAGGCCATATCCTTGGCCCAGGGTAGACAATTACCATTCATTTCGCAGCCAACCAGCTCAAAGCGCAGTGTGCAGGCCCTGTGACACCCCACAGGGTAGATGCGGATGTACTGAGCTGTGATCGGAGGACTGAACATGTTCGTCTTCATGCCATCATTATTCACGTTCCCCTGGAAAACCTGCAATGACATAGGCCAAGATGAGTGTTTAATGGCCAGGAATAGGGCCAGTATCAAGTCCTCATCCCTTCTCTCCCCCATATCCTTGTCCACCATGCGCCCTAACCCAGCACTTGTAGACTCAACAGAAAAAGCCATTTGACAGAACACAACTCATCACCAACACAGATATTCTCTGGAGAGTCACAGTGTTGCCAAACCAAAATTCTCATATAGTCACAGGATCACAGCCACTTAGGTTTTAAGAAATACACCAATTATTGCAAGATCTATCAGAGAAAAATCAAGAAAGCTGGTAACACTGCTGTCAATTAGTCGGTAAGTTTATAGGCCAGCTGACTTACAGGGAAGGAGTGCTCTTGGTTCTGTAAATAAACACCTATACCAGTGGTCCCCAACGTTTTGGGGCTGCCGGGCGCCTGGGGGCGGGGCCGCTCACGCGCTGCGCGTATGGGGGCGGGGCCGCTCACAGGCCACGTGACTGGGGGCGGGGCCAAGCATGTGCCGCACGCCCAAGGTCAGCACCGGCATGTGCTGCGATCACAGGGAAGGAGTGCTCTTGGTTCTGTAAATAAACACCTATACCAGTGGTCCCCAACGTTTTGGGGCTGCCGGGCGCCTGGGGGCGGGGCCGCTCACGCGCTGCGCGTATGGGGGCGGGGCCGCTCACAGGCCACGTGACTGGGGGCGGGGCCAAGCATGTGCCGCACGCCCAAGGTCAGCACCGGCATGTGCTGCGATCCCGGGCAGGGGCTGCCCAGGTTCCGCACGGCGCCCCCGGGGGTAGGGCCAAGGCCGGCGCCAGGGCCGGCAAGGGCACGTGCG